TTTCCCTAAACCTTACAGTTGTTCTGTTTGAAGTGGTATTTTTACCAGCTGGGGTAGGGGAACAGCAGTTTTAACAGTGTGACTGGGACAAAACACTGTGGCAAGTAGGTACTTTATATGCAGTGTCATAATTACAATTTTGTTTGCTCTCCTTTGCCTTCCTTAGTCAATCTTAACCTTCTTTATACTTGCTTTACACTGATTGAACATGGAGCTGATATTTTCATGGAGCTGACTATAATCACAAAATCTCCATCAAATGAATCAGAACCCATCGTTTTTATATGCACCTTTGGGATTGCTTTTCTATGTAGGAGATGCAAAATGAAATATATACAAACTTAAGTTTTATTTATTTCTTTGTAGCTGCAGGATGATAGAAATAGCTTCTTTAGTTGAATTTGCTAGGCTAGAGGTAGTATGAACTTGATGATCTTCAGCCAGTTGCTTAATATTCTTGTGTTACATATTTAGGATGAAGGTGCTTAAGAGTTGTTGAGAGGACTTGTGCTTTCAGTATAAACAGTCTTTCTCAAATTAATCACTTCAAAATATTGAGAAGTGACTTGATAACATGTCTTCCTTTGTGAGTTTGCACTGAGGGAATATAGTCGTAAAGAATGTTACCAAGAATCCTTAAGTTTCTTGGGCAGGGAACGTAAAAGCTGCTTACATCTGTATGTTAATGTAGTATCTATTTTTTTTTATTTAATTTTAATCGGCTATCAAATGGAGTGTATCTAGGATGATGAAGTTACCTCTGTAAAGTCACGTTCATGCTGAAGATAATTTCTGTGGCATTTACTCACTGTTCTGTAACTTGGATGGTTTTGGAGAAAACACAGATACCTGAGAAATTAAGCTTTGATTATCTTGTTATAATTTAAAAAAAAAAAAAAATCAGCCTCTTTTCTTCCTGTCAACTGTGCTTTCCATTCTTTTTTGATTCCAACTTCCTTAGTCTTTAATTTTTTTGATAGCTAGTGTTTGGTCTGAGAAACTGAGAATGGAGTTAGTCTGGTTTTATGTTTTTTCTGTCCTTTCTTTGTGGCCTGTTGCATGTGATGCTGTAAATGATAGCTGCTTCATTCTTTCAGCAGTGTGATCAAAAGCATCTTAAGAGTGTTGCTGGTAAGTTTTGCTATCTTCATAATTGAAAAGTTTCTCTTGTTTATTTTGAGTAATTTTAATGCAGAAAACAAGATACTGTAACTTATTAGCAAATAATGAAAACAGCTCTGCTGGACACCATAATCTGGCTCAGAAATGGTTTATTCTTATATATTTAACGTTTTTCAAGTACTAAAGTGTTGCAAAAATAATACACCAGTATGAACATAACAATTTAGAAACTATAAATGTGTGCCAGACTAAATTGAATCTCCTTCAATCAGTATAGCACTTAAAAAAAAAAAACTGGTACATATAAAATACTTCATTCAGTAACTTCCTCTGCTGGAACAACTTCCAAAAGCATCTGAACGTGCATAGTGATGGACTCTGATGGAAGAAAGTTATTGTTAGAGGCTTTATGAGAGAACAGTATTTCTATTCAGACTTACACTATTTTTCTAAGTGAGAAAATTATCCTTGTGAGTAGTTGTCTGTCTCTTCTGTATTCCTATCTCAAACTTAAAAAATAAGGGGTGGTGAACAAAAGCAATCTTACGATCCAAGCTACAACATTTCAGGGTATCTAAACTTGCTCTTAGTAGAGTACAATGTTTCTAATTGCATAATTACATGATATTTAATAATCCCAAGGGGGCAGGAGAGATGGGTGATGGGATTTTTTTAAATGTCTGGAGAACTACTAATTCTGTCCATTCTGTCCCCTTCAGCTGGTTCCATTTTCCCTTTTAGAAATACCTGTGTATCTTGTTTTCCCTGAGATAGTTGCAAAGAGTTTCTCTTGAGACTATGCAAAATCATTTTATAAATGGTCAGACTGGGTTCTTGCAGCTTTCACTTGACTCAGCAGCACTGTGATTAATTTTGGTCTTAATCTTGTTAACATTTTCTTTAGTAAGTATAGCAAAATTGATTAACTTGAGCTAAAAGCAGAGGATTTTGTGGCATAAGAATGTATGTCTGCTGATCTTTAGTTAATGGCTAAAGCAATGTTTTGAAATATGAACAATCAAAAAACTAACTTTCCAGATAAAATATTTCTGTTCATTTTAAAAGTCAGTTTCTCTGTACTACTACAGTGATGTATTGCTTTTTTGTGAATTAAGTTTTGTTTTTCCTGAAGTCAGGCATCATTTTTTTCACAGGAAGGAGTAAAATACAATATTTAGTAAAGCTCACTATATGCCCCTCACTATGTCTGGAAAATTGCCTCCCTCCACACCCCGTTCCCGTGATTTAGACGGGATGGACCATATAATGAGCTTCATTATGGTAATTACTTTAACCTAAAGCTTAGCAATGTTCTGTTGAATTTGGAGCTGGCTGTCTGAGGTATACTTACTTGATATTTTTCGGGGCCAGTTGAATTTAAAATGAACAAAAAGTACATAAACTATAAGTCCACTAAGTATAAATAAAACACAGTACAAATAGGCCAATTCAGGTGCACTGATGATTGGTGCCAATACCAGTAAAATGGAGACTAATGTCACTATGACTGGAATGATGATGGGTATCTGTAAGATAGAAAGCACAAAATTACTTGTTCATTCTTTTGCTGTTCTTACAGAAGGGGCATATATGAAAGAAGAATATTTTCATTGCCTTATGCAGTTTTTCCTTCTAAAATTTCTGGAATTAGATGGGGCAATTGAAAGACTAGCAAGAATTTGGATAGGGAAAACTCTTCTGCTAAATCATTGACCAAGATCTCTTTGTCTGTATTGCAAATTGCAGTGTAAAAATTTGCATTTCAATGAATGTGGGACCCGACTCCAGTGCAGTGACCTGGGTGGGGTCTTTTTTGGGTACTCTTTCAGTGGTAGTATGCTTGCTGCAGT